AATCCTCAACTCCAGATCAAAGTTTCCCAAAGGGAAGCTTCCATTTAAGGCATTTGAGATTATGAGGAAGCAAGTGGGTACAAGTGGATACTTCCTAGACTGGTCAAAGTAGGCGACTCCCACGAGCGTGTATGCCCTCTATTTAACATACAGTGGAGTGGATGGATTTGAAATAGTCAATGCAGAAGCACATAATCTAGGGTACTTTTGTTTAATGCAGAGATAAACGTGATTTTGAAAAAAACTGTTCTTTCGCCGATTCATCCTTTGTACACAAAGAGGGCAATAATCGATAATTAAAATAAATATGTACTACAGCTATAAATATGATGCCTTAAACTAATTCAATGTAAATTTAAGCCATAAGCTTGCTGATTTCTCTTTCGCCAACCACATTTTAATGACCTGTGAACGTTTTAACATTCGTTTGTTACTAACACTTTGGAGATTATCATTAAACCATGCGAAAATACGTGAGAATCCAGGTTTAGTGATTACACTATTATAACTTTAAAACAAATCATCATTTTAATCATCAAATTGACAGGATGCTTTGATTAACCGTCTAAAGGGTGCTTACTCTAAACTTATAAAAAATATTTTTCATTAAATGTCTACAGTCAATATTGCCTATGAGTAATTCAGAAAATATGCGTATTAACTACGCCAGTTTCATGCACCAGCTGTACCCGCCATTATCTAAAATCAGTTAAGCAAAGTGCTCTTTTGCAATGAACAAAATGATAATTCGAATGAAATCCATCTCAAAATTTTCGGGGTGTGCAATAGACTTACCTCCACTTGGTACACCCTGGGCAACGTATACTCATGCGGCAAAAAAGTCTATTAATCGACAGTTGACTTCTGACTTCAAACTACCATGGCCCGACTACTTGCCATATTCGACCCCTTTCACAGTACACATCTTACCTTTTTCTCTACCTCTATGTCTGTCTGCCTCTTTTACATCTGTGAATCGCTCTTCTGTACCCCACCCCTCGACTTTCTTCTACTTTGATGAACCTTCCCTCTGTGAAGCCTGAAGTCAGCTAAATGGCTAATGATAGCTATCAAAACGCCTGCAATTTGAAATAAATAAATAAATATCTCAAAATTTTCAAGATCAGTTTGTATCTTTATTTAAGATCTGTCCCAATAAATCCTCCCATTTATAGGAATTAATTTAATTCAGGTGAAATCCAATGTATGCTATAAATAATTGCGTCTTCGTTATGATTCCTATAGTGGATGAGAACAACACATCGATATTACCATTTACATCTTGAATAGGGCGAATAAGTTACGTCAATATGACAGACGAATGAATTTGTTTTAATGCGATAGTTAGTGAAGGACTCAAAATAATACCAACTAATGTTTTTTATTCTCAAATGTTATACCACAGTTTACAAAACAGTTCAATGTACTTTTTTTCCGAAAAAAATTGAAATTTTAATCCAAGCACAATCATCATGTTCCATTTATGGTAATATTTAACTATGTGAATTGTCATATTCGTTCATGCATAATCAAGCTAAGGAATGTCAAATATATACACAATGAAGTGTTTTTTTAATTGAAGAAGAATACTTACTCCTTTTATTGAACAAAATCATTTCAGTACACCAACCTTGAACCAACTAAATAAATTTCATCAGATATGTGGTGTCATACTTAAACATTTTAATATTAATTGTGATGATTTTAGCATTGTGGTATAGTTTTTATGAAGTTCCTCTGTAGTGTAACTTTCGTTTTTTAACAGCTTATCGTCTGATGAATACTTCTCATTAAGCACTGATGACGATTGTTGAGTACCTATAGGGTGAGCATCTTTCGTGGTAGATGGCACACATTCCAAACGAAATTTCAGCCCCTGGTTAAGTCATGCAAACTAGTACTATCTTCCTGCCATTAGCATTATCAAAAAGATGTCTATTCTTAAAATAGCAGCACAGAAACTTCAAATAGAGATTAGGTGTCACATCACCCAATCTCTTACACGTTGCTTGTAGATTAGGAAAGTATAAGAAATGCCTCACATACACTCAAAATTTAACACCAGTAGCAATTTTCACCTCCCCTTACTCTTTGTCTTGAAAGATGATCTCAGAAAAATTGCTTTAAGAAAACAGTCTCTCCTAATAATCTGTTAGAAAGTAAATATTTTTCCGTTCTTTAGTAAATTGTATTTTAAAGTCCCTCGTCGATTTTGTTCAAATCGCGCTTTTGATACTGGTTTTAGTTCAAACTGACTGATAACAAATTCTAATTCTAATTTGGTGCTGTCAAATAGGGGGGGGGGGTAGAGAGTGGGTGTATTGTCTTTAATTTTGAACGTTGTGGTCAGATTATGCTATCGTGAATTCCAATATTCTGACGCAAATCTGCCGGTTTTAAATTTTTCAAGTCTATCTTGAGCTCATAAAACCCGAAAAATAATTCGGAAGAATTAAATTGCACGCATTGTGAATTGATTACTCTATTAATGCACTTGAAACAGTAAAATGAAAAATTGGTCTTGAAACATTTGCTTATTAATTGGAAATGATTAAATTATTTGGGATACTAAAAGATCCTGTTTCGAGGAAATAATTGGCGACTATTGACGATTATGTTAGAAGTGTGGAATAGCAATTTGCCAGCACTAGAAGCAAACGAAAATGAATTTGAAGCATAAATCTCAGGATGCAAGATTTAACCGTCAGAGAAACTGATTTAATCTAATGCTAAAACATTTAAAAGCTCAAAATATTTCTCCCACTTTTTGAATGGTTTGAATAACAATATTTTTCCATATTAATATGCATGCTTGGAGGTTGTACATTTCAACCCCTCGTAAAAGGGAAAAACAATTGGAAGACTTTTCTGACATGAAATTTAATTTATGTTCTATCTTAAATGATTTGATATTTAAACAGCTGCTACGTCGATGTCTCACGTGTTAATGAGTTTTTTGCACTCATATAATTTATGATGAATTTAGATCTATTAATTCGCTACTAATTCAGAATTACAGTGAGCAGATAGAACATTTAAAAATTTACACGTTTTATTTGTTTTTGTTTGCTGTCAGTGTTACAAAAATCAAATAAATTTGACTGATAGAAAAGGGAAATAAATTACCTTGGCAGCAAGAGATGATCTCGGCATTTCAAAGACAGCCCAAATCCTGGGTCGAATCCGTTGCCATGTAGTTAGATTATTCCTTTCATATTCCTCTTCAAGACCAAATCGCTTGTATAGATCAGCGTCTGTGTAGTCAACAGCGTCCATATCCGCTTCGTCTAGAATGTTGAGAGTCGATTGTGTGTCCCGATGCGTTGTGTAGGTCATCCAACAGCAAGGCTCAACCTGTTGAACGAATGTATCCATTTTGTTAGAAAACCCTATGCATGATTTCTGCTAACCATATCGTTGTGATGCAAAGCGTTTTGTCTGTCAACCAAAAAATGGAACGATTTTTTTCCAACTTTAATTATCTTCTAATCACCACGTACAGTGTCAGTCCAATAACCATACATTGTTGACGGAGTACTTTAGAAAATGCATAGACGTTGAAGTCCGTTCTGCAGATACTCCGAAGAGCACTAATTCAGAGTTTCTCAGACATTAATTCTCGCCGTTCTATAACATCATTTATAGTCTGTGTTGTTCATTGCATTATTTACTGCCAAGACACAATAATTCAGACTACAGTATCACCTACGATTTCTTTTTACTTCATATTCTATTTGACTATTGGTCAATGAATTTTCGTAGCGCGATTTTGCTTGTTAATAAGAGGTGCATATTAAATCAAATCTTAATAGTGCACTTAAACTACTAGCAAACTGGTGCGACAACAATGGAATGGTAATTAACATGGCAAAAACTGCTTTCCAAACTTTTTCTTTGGCCCATCACAGCATAAACTCGATTCTAAGGTACAAGGATACTACCCTAGAAAAAACCAATGAGTTCACATATCTCGGAATGACGTTTGACACAAAGCTAATGTGGAAAAGTCACATTGCTAAAATAGCAGAACGCGTCTCCAATAGACTGAATGTCCTGAAGCGTCTTGCTGGTAGCGTATGGGGCTGTGCACGCTCAACTCTCAACACCACTTACAAGATGTTTATTCAGCCAATAATGTTGTATTGCTGTGAGCCACTCATTGCAGCCACAGAGGTAACTCTCAAACCACTCGAGAAGGCACACAACCAAGCATTACGAATAATTACTGGAGGGATAAAATCAGCACCCATTGATGCAATGCTCCTAGTTACAGGAAGCACCACAATATGTTCCCTTATCAAAGAAAAGACCTTGATCCTGTATGAGAAGCTACTGCGCATTCCCATGGATAAGTTTTTCAGCACCTATGAGAATAGACCAAGACATCTGAAAACGTAATCTGGTCTAATACAGAAAGCCATAGAACTGAAGAAAGCATTACAAATCGATGACAAACGAAAAAGCCTCTCTCTCCCCATGAACCCATTAGCAGACACTGATGTAGTGTGTTGCACCCAACTGCTCGACTTCTTCAGGAAATCAAACACTCCTACAGAGCAAATGCGCTCACTGGCCCTTGAAACAATCAATTTCAACTATCCTGCAGATCAATGGCTCCAAGTCTTCACTGATGGGTCATACATAGAAAATCAAGCAAACGTTGGTGCAGGTGTCTATTCTGAACTCTTCTCTTTCTACGCAGCAGTGGGACACAATAGATCCGCTTTTGAAAAAGAAATAGAGACTATTAGGATAGCACTATTCCAATTATGTTGCTTGGATACGAAATTCACCAAAGCGGTGATACTTTCGGACTCACATTCAGCAATAAACTCAATTGGAAACAGAGAGCCACCCAAAACAACTGAAATAAAGGAATGTAGAAAACTTTATCAGCTGCTGAGAGAGAAAAACAAAACAGTGATCCTACAATGGATTCCTGGTCACTGTGGCATTAAAGGCAATGAGCTTGCTGACACACTTGCTAAGAAGGGGACAACGATTTTGCAATGCATGGACCGGCCGATGTCTTTCCACACAATGAAGGCCTTAATCAGAATAGAATTCCAGACCTCAAGATGCAACGAACTTAAAGCTCAAACAAAGGAGAAACAGTGGACAGTGGCATTATCCGATATAGCCGATTGGCCAAGAATCGAAGCCGTTGCTGAGTTTAGACTACGTACCGGACACGATTGCTTGCCAAAACATCTTCACAGATTGGAAGTATACACTCAACCCACATGCCCCCTATGTAACCTACAGGAGGAAATGGATAAGACCCACCTGATTCGGTGTCCAGCCCTAAAGGCAACGACGGAAAGCCAGAGATACTGGGAAGCAAGAAGACAGCTAATGAATTGCTATTAATTAACTGCTATAAATGTACCCCCCCCCACCCTTGGGGGAAGCTGAAGTCAAAGTCACAAAGCCTGCCATTTGAAATAATAATATATTAAATCAACAACTAAATCAAGGTACAAAATTTTTATTTTATGGGGATGTACTTACTTCTATCAAAAGAAGATAAATTTGGCAAAAAACTTGTCTAACAATTAATTTTGAAAGCCAAATTATCCTGTTCGTTGAAAAAATGTTTTTGTAATGTTAAAGGGATTAGAGGACAATATTTATTAGTTTCAAACCTTGTTATTTTGATAAATGAAAGTACTTCAAATTCGAATTATTATGGTTTGAAATGATTCGCTGATTATCCTGCAATTTGTGCACATTTATAAGCGTTTATTATTAATGAAGTGAACTTAAGCTATGATTTTACCAACTAACGTACCTCCCTATAAATTTTTTATCATTGGAAACACCAAAAATTATTCCATCCGATGAAGGATGTAAGCAAAACTTTGACTAAAAAAATATTTACAATTTTTTTCTTATCTGACTTTTCGTAAAAGGCCAAAAAGAGGAAGGTAGTCAGTGTAGGAGAAAAAAGGTGAAAGATGCAGTCTTTGAGGTGGAGCAAATGTGCCATTTAACGCGTTTATACCCCTAAGAATAAAATTGAGCAGATGCTGTTGAGGTAATTCCTCATGTCTAAAACTTTTGTGCTGTTTTGTCTGCAAAGAGAACAATAATCCCTTTCTCGTAGTTCCTCAATCATTCAATCATCTTGACATTTTTTGTTTAATTATTTTTGGGTGAAAAATTCGCAAATTTCAAAAGAATCGACATTAGTGGCTGTTTAGACATGTCAGGTCTATGAAATTGAGCACTTCTAAGGAGGTTTTGATAAATACTCATGGTTTTGTTTAAATGTGCATTTTAACAAACTAGCTACTTATCTTATTAGTGTGTTGCTTAAAAAAAATTATGAGGAAATAATCAAAATACCTCGCTTTGAAAATGCAAATGTCACAAATGTCATGTCATTGACACCATTTCGAGTGGAGTACAATGATGGGATTTTTTTGAAAGGTTTGAATGCCTCCATATAAACTCTTTATCAAATAAAGCAAAATTTTATAAGAATTATGTTGAATTTTTTAAAAAAAGTGGTACATTTATTCAAGGATCTGTGAGAAAAAAAGACATTTTGCTTAGGAGATGACAATATTAATTTTTTTGAACACCAAAATAAAGGTGTTTTGAATATTACACACACATTTTTCTTAAAACCATAAATAAGCATTTCTCTCAGATCCGGTCGTGTTTATTAAATGTTTTCACGTTCACTTCTGCTTACTACTCCACATTATATATATTCAGAAGTCGAGTTATTTTATTTATTAACGGCTCTTTGCTTCGCTAAGAAAAATTAATTTTTATGTATTTGTTAATATACAAAATTTCCCCATTTATTGAAACTTTATTCGAAACAAAAAATAATAATATGGAAATATGCAGCTTATGTATTTTCCAATTTTCTCTTCCTTGACTGCGGCAATAAAAATAAAAAATGTAAAATAACTATTTTAATTAAATAATTTTGTTGCCTAATGCAATTTAGGTTCTTCCAATTGCGTACTGAGTAAACATTAGCCAGTGCTTTGATACAGTTTCTTCAAAATTTAAAAATTTAATTTACCACTCTGTCTAGATTTCTGAATAAGACTAAAAATTTCGATCTGAAAATGAGACCATATGAATATTTTTTTGTCAAATCCTTTGGTCATTTTATTTTTATAAATATAAATACATTAGGCGCCTATTCATGCTACATTTTGTAGTGTACGATCAGTTAAACCCGATACCTTAAATTTAAAATACCACTTGTTTCAAAATTTGCAACATATTATCTTTTTAGCATTTAAAATTGCTTCCATTTTTATTATTTTTTCCAATTTGTGAAAAAATGAATCGAAAAATTTGCACGGTACATTTATGGAATTCAATTTCGATTGAATAGATTTGTTCTTTTTTGGCTTTTGTACTTCACCTACTTCATTAAATTAATGCACCAATTTTTTATTTATATTTATTTACGTGTGTCCTTCAGCTCTGTAATATTTTGATTATCTTATGTGTCGTCTTTTTACGATTGTGATGTATCCTCACGCCCTATCGCCTCGTTGGAGGAACGACGTTACCTGGCAACAGGGAATTGACGAAAACCACTCATCTACTTCCACTCGAATTTAACGCATCATGCATTCCTGTTTGTTATCTGTTTGATCGAAACGTTTTGATGGCATTCGGATACTCGGAGATTACTGTTATCGATGCCCTACTTGAACGCCCCTAGCGGCTATTGGCTAAAATATTATCAGGCTTTGCTTACATAACCAGCATATATTATTGAATGGTTTAATTGACTCGTTTTCATCATTACATAGTGTAAGGCAACGGTAAGGTAGAAACACGGTTCGCTGGTAATAAATTTTAAAGTACTGAAAGATTGAAGTGGGGTGCCTTTTAACAACTACGAGTCAAATAAAACTTTGAACAGATATTGTTTACTTTCGGACTATTTCTGTCAAGCTAATATTAGTCAATCAAATTTGAAGAAAAAATCACAGCAATCTCTTAAATACACTATGAAAGCGATATCATTTGTGGTTATAAAATGAAGATTAGTCACTTTATTAAATTATTTAAATCACCGAAGAACAGTATTAAGGAAATATGCGTCTCTATTAATTAATACCCATAATAAACGACGTATATACAATTACTCTACAAATGAATGAGACCACAATGCATACTCACTTGGTTTGAGTCCAGGCCCCAAAATGCTAATTCCTCTTCAAAAAGTGGGCCACAAACATCAACTGGATAATGCAATTTTCCTGTTCGATAGTAATTAAGGACTTGAGCAAATACACCTGGGTGTCTATCAAAGAAGTACTCATTCAGCAGTGGATCGTAGTTCGCCAAAGCCTCTGTCAAGCGGGAGAGTCGAGTTGCTGGTATCTTCTTCAGAGTCGACTTGTAGGTTTCATGTCGTACTCCACCAACATTTAGAATCACACGATTGCTGCTGTTGCTAGTAGAAACTGAATTTAATTTCACTCCCGAATTAGCGTTTATCAGACTGCAACTGTCCATTTTAAAATTCGATTTATCTAAACAAATACTGATTATTGGCATTTTGAATTAATTAATGTTAATTAATATAACTGTCGCTGAAGGAAAAGTGGGATATAGTTAGGTATTTTATCGCGCAACTGATTTGAAATAACTTTATTATATTTTATTTATATGATTTCGACATTGCCAAAGTTGTTTTAATCGAAGTTGTTAGCTTTTTCGTCATCTTAAGTGGAATTTGTTTTGGAGCCTAGATTATTCCTTTGAGTGGAGTTTCTTGAAATAATTTATCTATTAAATCAGATTGGAATATTTTAGCAGTGTTTACAGACACAATTTCTATAAATTTTAAATGCTCCTAATTAATTGATGTAATATTTACAGAGAGGCTTTTGGTGCACTAGTAGTAATTGTTTCTGTTCAAATGATGCATAAATTTCAGATTTTAAATACTGCCCTTTCAATGAAGCCATACTTTAATACGTCTAACATATATTATCGTCATAGACTATGTCTAAATATTTTATGTGCAAATTAATGAAACTCACAAAATACTAGAGGCTTTAAAACATTACTTAAAAAACGTAATTTTAAGTAATTATTGCAGTCTCAAAAAAACTCAGAATAAGCCTTTTTTAATAATAAAACACTCTAATAATTTTCCACATATTCAATAAATATTTTAATATATGTTTAAACTCGTTTTCTTATAAATGAAATCAATCCCAATGATACAAAATTAACATCTCTATTCTATAACCAAAAATAAATGGAATGAAATCCACAAAAAACTTTACGAACATCACTCAAACGTCACTGATACATTAGCAAGAGAAGAGTACCTTGTTTGCCCACACTTCTGGAAAAATAAATCCATTTTTAAGTAATGTGTACTGTTTCATAAATGATCCACTCGAAATGGCTAATTTTGCAGTTGAATGAGGCTTATAAAATATGATTTGCTAAGTCGCACAGCTAATAAAAGTTAGCCTGACCAATAGCAGGCTAGAATGATGTCTTATCGGAGCAAATGGCCAATTTCTTGATCCGTCTGTGCTTCACTATTACAAAACTGTAAAATTTATCGAGATACAATTTAATTTTACTCAAAATGATTTCAGCTTTCAGCAATCTCCTTCTCGAGTAATCTTGAATAACCGAAATATTGAACTCTTTGAAGCCCTCAAAACAAACCTATCCTAATATTTGAAACATTAATTTAAATATAGTTGACCGTACGGTTTGTTGTTACTTTTCCCCCAGTGAACGCCAAGATCCTTTAAATACTTGCTGTGAAGATGAAGCCCAACAGTGGATACAACTAGGAGGGACGAAATGGGAGCTTCAAAAGAGCTGTTTTATTCGATTTTCCTATTCAAGTTATTCACTAATCAATAGGTGAACAATTTATTGTTTTATTGTACTAGAGTAATAGCGAATTCGCATTCACGCATACCGATACTTACTAACCGATCGTTCAATTATTGTGACTGATCTTTATATATCAGTTACTTTTTAATTTCAAAACTGAAAGATTAGTATGAGTTTAGGTAATCTTTACACATCAGAGCTCACAGGGCAGACTGTAAGTAAAGTGAATTTTTGGGGATAAATAGAGTTTTATTCCGTAGACACATATCATTCAAGGTAGTTGCCCAGAGGAATACTTCATGCAGTTCAGCTAAGGAAACTCAAAGTATCAAGAAAAACCCCAGTATATTTGTTTTTGATTTTTTTGTTTTCAAAAATCCAGCCAGAGCCTAATTTCTAATTTTACCGACTATAATAATTACAAACATTTTTGTACGATAAGAGAATGATAAAATTTTTGGAATAACGTTTCTCAACCAAAGGCACGTATTTATTTTGAGCTATGCTATAAGGAAAAGCTGGTTATAAAGTTGTTCCATGAAGAGTTATAATTACTTCCTTCCCATAAAAGTGAAAACGAGGTCTTTATTTGAAACAAACAAGGTTTGTAGGTATGAAAATTTAGAAATATTAATGTTAAGTGAATTAGGATTCCAATAAACTGGAAAATTTTAAGTAACTCTTTCATAACAGCATATTTGTTATATTTACCATGAAATATTCGGAGAGTAGGCATTAAAACAAACCACAGTAGGTGGTATCACCAAGCTTAACCTGTCTCATCATTGTTCATATGAATTTCAAATTAACTTTAACCAAAATCCCTGCAGAAGATTGAGAGTGTCGATGGAAAACATAAATTGAAAAAGGTGCACTTAAATGATTATTATTATCTTGTACTTTCGCCTCCTTTTCATTTTAGCGAGACACAAATAGAACCCACTCAATCGGAGGCGTTAATTTGAGTGTGGGAGGGTAAGAATGAATTAGAATGATAAGAGTAAACACTTATAAAAATAGTATTGCCAATTATAATGATCGGTTTTAAGGAGAAGTCTCTTGTTTCCTATAAAATTCAAATATTTTAAAGGAAAATTTCGAAAATAATTTCAAAGGAATATTTCTTATTCAGTTGAGTGTTATCTTAGACTTGCACTCATCCATGTCTTCTTCAATTTTTGGGTAATTACTTAATCTAATAAACAATTGTGAAGATAACAGATGATAGATAAGTAATGTTGATAGAAACCGAAGATGTTGACAATTCCTGCCTCAGTACAATCGTAGGCTTCCAGCAAAGTGTGTGTGTGGGGGGGGGGAATCGCTGTCTGTCGCTGATATTTTGAAATCTTCCTGCATTTTGGGGATCATATATAGCAAACACTCCAGAATTTGATGTTCAAGAGATCATTTTTTAATATTTTAATATTTTCTCATCTACGGGCTTAATGCAGAGATTTAAATTCTAATAGAATTAAGTGAAACGAATTGTGGTAGGTGATTAATTACACTACACCTCCCCATAAAGAACAATAAAGATGTGTTATTTTAATTGAAAGAAAGGATTAAAGAAAGAAATATTGGAGGTAAAATGAACTAATATGGCTGAACTAAGTAATTTGCGTTGGCCAAAACACCAAATCGAATCATTAGTAACCAAATCACTATTGTGGAGTGAAATGAATCGTCTCCGAAATAAATATTTTAGAGAAAGAGAAATAAGCTCCATCTCGTATATATTGTTGACATTGAAAAATTGATCTCTCTTGGGATATTTGCCTGTGTTTATTTTGAAAATATGCAAAAGTTAATTAAAAGTTAATTACTTGGAACGGGAAAGATGCCTTTGCTTTTTCCTCAGAAATGTGGAGAATAATTTTAACGCTTCAATGTTTTGTTGAGGTCATAGTAAGAGTTTTCATTTAATTTGTTAAGTCAATATGTTGTTATAAACGAAACCTGACTCATTCAAGATCATAAAATTAAGGAAGCTAATTTGATTAAAAATAAAGATTAATTAATCTGGAGACTGTAAGGATCACTTGATATTCATAGCATTGTGAAATGCTCCATTTTTACAATATTTGTTTTGTCTTATTGATTATGTCTGAGCATTTTAAATACGTTAATCATAAGACGTAATAGGTGGAAACCAATGCAGACAGACACAGAGAGATCGCTGTTTATCCGTGGTGTGAAACAGAGAGTCTTTTGTCGCCTAGCCGGTCAGAATTATGATATTTATTCAGAATATTGTTGCAAAAAGGGAGATATGGAAGCGCTCAACAATTCCTAAATATATGGAACCAACTGAGCTGGTTGTCACATTTTATGCTGAAAATAAAATTTTTATAGTAACTTAAACCAGTGAAATTAACAATAAATAAAAGAGTTATCTCAGTAGCCACTCTATTAAAGTTTTGAATTTTCAATATTAGTTTGTATCGGCTACATAGTAATGTATTTGTGAACAGAATAAGCTTTAAAAGTCACTCTTTAATTAAAAGGGACACTTATTTAGGAGGAGGCAGAAGATTATTGTTTGATTTAATTCCCGTCGTTAACATCCAAAATTCAAAATGCATACCAAGCACGTACTTATTCATTCCTACTAGTGCTGAATATCTGTTAAGGTCTCGTTTTCATCCATTTTCAATGTTTGCTATTGTTAATTCATCGTCACGTCTTTTCATTTATGCCAAATATTTTCAGCCATTGATTCCCATTCACCATTGTTATTTGCAAACGTATGCTTCATGTGTTTCAGGAATCCCAAATTTTCACGTGAAAGTAATATTTGTCAAGCTTGCCTTCAGTTTTGACATGGTAGTCACAGACCATTTTTATGGATTTTAAAAATCTATTTGAACTACATTAATCGGGAGAAATTAGACTGATGTGGTAACCGTTCCAAAATTCTGGGATGTACCTCTTAAGATTAATTTAACTAGTGACATTTAGGTCACAACAAAGTCGACAGGTAGAACACATTATGATTTGCACTCTAAACCAAATGGGGTGGGAGGTCAAAAGGTATCTTTGAAGCAAAATTCGAACGACTTTAACACCAGTTTCTTCACCTCTTGCCACGACGCCACTTTGTGATATTTTAATTAAAAATTTGCTCTAACTGGTTGCATAATAATGGAGATATTGCAGGTTTTCCAATTAAGCTCCTTTTACAATTTTACGATTAGTTAAACTATAAGCTCTCTCGATCTAATAAGGTATTGGAATTACCCTTTGCATAAGTCAGAACTATTTCCAAAATAAGAAACTATAGTAACGTAGTGACTACCTGTCATTGTGCAATAATATGTTTTACATCAATTTACTGTTTGATAGTAAATTTCATTGACAATTAGGGTGATGGAGCAGATATTCAAACGTAGCTAATAAGAGACATGCTTCAATTATGGCTATTCTCCTCTTCACATTTAGTCCTTAAGGATGTCAATTATAATGAGTATATCCTTACTAGGTTCAATCTGACTGAGGTCAAAGCATACACCTATGATTTCGTTTGCACCATTTCTTGATTGAGTGTGTTCATGGATGGTAGAAACGTCAAAATTTACCTTGGGAGGAGACAGCTGGTATTCCAGGAACAACTTTCCTGGTTTATGTTCACCAGCATTTAATATATC